ATATATATATATATATATTCGATAGAATTTATTTTAAGAAGAGAATTATATATTTTCAGGAAATATAAAAAAAAGTTTTCCTTTTTCCTCGTTTATTAAGACCAATTTCGAATATTTCGACGTGAAAAAGGCTCGACAGAATAATTCTAACTGGGAGAGATAACGCTTTGATCTGTCCCTCGAGAATTTTTTTCTACGTATCCCTCTCCCTCTATCGAAAAAAATAATCGAACGAAAAAGAGCCGTGGCAATTAGTACCGATATCACGGTCCCGTGTGTGCATCCTTGGGAAGACAGATAATGGAAGCCAGAAACGTTTACACGTTCGTCGAACTCGCGGCTGTTCTAAAAATCGTTCTATCGAATTATATCGAAAGGTACAGTTGGCCACAGTTGCATTCCTCGATACCGTAAATATCGCTTGTCCACCGATATTTACGTGGACGTTGCTCGTTTATATTCCCCAACGCTCTCTATTCCCGTGGGAGAGGGGATTGGCATCGCGATCACGATATCGAATAGGGAAAAATTCGTAGGAAATCAAGGCGATAGAAAAAAAAAGAAAAAAAAAAGAAGAGAAGAAAAATAGAGACGAAAAAAAGATAGGTAAATCGTGGCGAGGATAACGAAGGACGCACGGTTATCGATTGTGTACAATGTACAGTACAGTGTGTGCTCATGTTCGTGGGCGGATATCTAACACGTGGAATTCATCGAGCTTCCATATCGGTTAAATGAAATCTACCGCGTAGACGTTACGATCGTATCGCATTGAAATGGACAGACTGTGTATTTAGAATGGAATGAATTAATTAGATGTCGCGATATACGTTGAACTTTGCGGATATTTCGATGAATATCTCGTGGGAAAGGTCGTAACTTTTGCAATCGTGTAAACGAGTTTAGTATAGAGGGCGCGGAAATGGGTTTAACGAGTTTGGCGCATAGAGTGGAATACAATTAGGCGTAAAGTCAACTGCGAATCGCTTTATTCGCTGGAGGAAACGATTAGATGAGAAGGCGTGAGAGAGAGGGAGAAAGAATGTGTTTAACGCCACGTTTCGAGCCTTTGTGCTGGTTGGAATACAACTGGCGCGTTAATTAGAAAGATTAAAAGCGTGCAGTGTTTGAGAACGTCGAACGGTTTATTTTTGTTTCAGTTGTCTGGACTGGTGGTGGGCGGGATCGGTATCTGGACGGTGATTTCGAAGCACAGCTACGTGTCCCTAATGACGACCTCCACGTATCCGACGTTAGCCTACGCTTTGATCGTCGCAGGTGTCCTGGCTGTGGTCGGTAGCTGGCTCGGATGCGGCGGTGTAACTTCTGAAAATAGATGCGTACTTCTCATAGTAAGTAAATACTAATAATAGTAAGTAATTCCACGAAGCATCACGAATAAACTCTACTCCAGATTCGCTCGACTTCTGCTCGCTTTCGTAACTTGAAAAATTAAGAAATTAATTTTTACACCTCGATACAACCTCAGAATACGATCAAAGCTCACTTGCTCTACATTTTTTCGATTCAGATATCCAATAGTACGAATAATTGCTTTGGTAAAAAACGATCAAAATTGGGAAAAAAAAAACTCGTTAAAACTGGAGAATCATCGTGATTAATTCTAATGGAATCGATTAGATTGATCCACCGTTCGTAAGACGTTCGTAAAACGTTCCATTCGAACTTATATATCCACTGATCGATCGGAATCGATCGAATCGGAAACACGGCTCGTGCATCATGGAAGAATTCATCGCTTTGCCTGGAACATATATTTACACCGTTGATGGTAGCACGGTGTCTCTTATCGATCATGCGCTTCCGTGTCGGCCATTTATCAGGGTGCCACTATTGTCTGATTAATTAATTCTCCGGTCGGGCCAAATGCTCTGCGCCGCGAGAGGAGAAGGGGGAGGAGAGACGGAGGCAAAGATAAAGCCGAGGATATAGGAGGTTGGAAACCAGCCGCACGAGTAACTCGAGCTATCGCTTTCAGAATTGCCTACAGCCTTGGTAGCGGATGCTCTCCTTGCTAAAGGAGGCGATCGTTCGCCAAAGTTTCGTGGATTCCATTCGACGAGGTGACGTGCATAATGGATTCGTTTCACGAATCGGCCAGAAACGTCCCTCTTTTCACCCCCCCTCTCCATCTTGCTTCCCAAACTTTTCCACCAAAATTTCGTTCGAAATCATCTCGCAACTTCGTCGCAGCGGAAGAAGAAAAAGAAGAAGAAGAGAAGACAATAGTCGCGATGGTAATTAAAATGGCGCGCCAACTATTGAGAGCAACTTTCTCTCGTGATGGCGCATTTGAAAAAAAGATTCCAAGTTCCGTTTCCGGGACAGTTTCGAGAATACTCGCATCCTCGCTTCTTTCTATGCGGCTGAACTCATTGCATTATAGCAATGGAGAGAGCTTTGTGAGCTCGCTTTCACCACGAAAACGAAGGAACTGCGTAAGCTTAAAAAACCGCTCGTTTACTTTGTTTTCATCGTTATCGATCGTTCCTTCTAATCGCGGATCCCAGCCGATCGTTGTGCGGATCTCTGCTATTTTTTTTTTTTTTTTATTTCTACCACCTTCAAAGGTGGCTCAAAGCTAAAGCTGTTCTTTTTTTATTTCGCGTAAGATGCGCCTGGTAAGGCGTAATAAATACGCGGTTACAAGGTCGATTTCACGTTAAACGCATAGTCGATTAGCTCCCACTATTATCAACCCTCGACAAGTGGCCTCCCCTTGTTGGTCCCCTTGTTGATCCTCGCGACAGGATGAAAGTCGAACGTAAGATAAAGGAAAGCGAGAAGCTGGTTTTAAAAATACACTTTGATTTTTCATTAAATAAAATTACTTATTAAGATATATCTTCTAAGATGGAAGACACGTTTCAAGAATCAAGTTTTAAAGTTCGATCAATGGAGGGAAACGATTTTATTTTACGAGAAAATAAAATTATAAGAATAATTATAATGGTGATGGTATTGGAATATGATTTTCCTCGTTTTCTCGGTAGAAGAGAACGAACACAGACACGGTAATTGAGATACGTATCTCTCAGCGATAAAAGTCACTCGTCCGTATTAGACTCGAGTACTCATCATCTCTGGTGCTGCATTGAATGCAAGCCAGAATGAATGTGGCGTTGAATATAATATTCGATATAACGCGTCCATTATTGCAATATACAAATATACATTGTTATTACAAAATTATGTTATCGAGCGACGTCATGTATCGCAAAGAGTATAGCAAACGTGTACAATAAGAGATAGAAGCTTTCGTTTTATATTTAAAAGCTTACAACCCTTACGAGTAGAAAGAAAAACGAACTCGAAAGCTTGAATTCTTACTTTCTTGTATTCGAAATGATTGATCGCAAAAAAGGATGTGGCAATATGCGCACAGGAGGAGTATACCGAAATCTGGTGATTCAACGTTCTTTAATGGAATTCGCGGAATGGAATCTTGTCCGCGTTTGGAAAATTTATCGTACTTTTTTTATCCCCTCGAAAAGAGATCGCTTCGACTGCTCATAGCTGGAAAATGCTACTACCTCTCGACGCTTTGTAAAACTTTGTCCGATAAAACGATGCAATGAATTTTCGCTGGATGCATCAAGCTCGAAAGACGCCAAAGAATTACGTTTCAGTGGAAAGTTTTCGCCCTTCGAATCTATCTTGTTCCCATCCGTCTGAAAACTGTTAGCATCCCCCCTGCTGAGCTATAAATTGTGCTTAAACGAGAATTAGCACGAGGACCGGTATCTCGAGCCACCATTTCAGGACCTGCAGCACCACCTTGCTCAACTGGCTCACCCTTAATTCCACATAAATGATAGTTTAATTCCGCAAACAACCCTTGCTAACCACGGAAGATACGGGGTTCTTTTTCAACGTGGATGGATTCCCATTCATCGTCGCATTGTCAGGATCACGATTTAAGCAAGATCAAAATGAATCTTCTCGTTCTTCTGCTCGCTAATAATTATTGTTCGTCGATTATTATTTTCTTCGATGAAACGGTAAAAGAGAACGACAAATCGTCATCGTGAGCCAATATTACCGCGACATCGTGGATGAAATTTATCGCATGTTCGATGCTTTTACGGTGCGCGTAAGCCGCAGGAAGCATTTACGAGGTTACGTTTTCCGCTGGGTAATAGCGGAGCAACACCTTTCCCACTTTTCTGACGAGAATTTACTTTCACCCTTGCGTCTGTCACGATCTGAGAGAAAAATTGCAGAAAATATTTTTATATTTATCGATCGTATTTCTTTGAAAGAGTAGTTTTAAAAAGTTAGTAGAAAAATAGTAGAAAAAGTAGTTTTAAAAAGTTTGGTTCAACGAACTAATTGGAATAACAAGAATTGATTAGTAAATACACGTTTCAATTTTTTGAAGAATTACATTCTGAAACATTGTTGAGCGTTGTAATCCATTCACGATTTTAATGTGTCTCCTGTCTGTTCAATTTAGAAACCGCATTAGAAATCGTCGAATTGATTCAGCCTTGAATCAACCGCATCGTGCAACCGCGATAATTTACCGTAATTCCGTGCTCCTCCTATCAAAATTATCATCAATTACCCGTCGAACAGCTATCATAATCGCGACGAAGGTCGCATTCGATCGGAATATGCCAATTCCACGATCATATTCGTCCCTAACGATCCGTCGATTAAGAAATTTTGTTATTTCTCCAAAATGTAATAAATAAACAATGACAGAAATATATTATGATACGAGATAGGTTAAAATTAATCCATAAATGTAAACGGTAAAATTAATTTTAGTACAATTTTTGCAAAGTTTTGCGAATCAAATATAAAAAAAAAGTAGAAAGTTTCTATTTTTATCATACATTCTTATCGCG